CTCTCACACTCATTTTTCTCAGAATCTCAACTGCAACTCTCTCTCTCTCTGTCTCTCTCTCTCTCTCCTGAAGTTACTTTTTTAATCTCCCTCCCACTCATACTCTGTAACTGTCTCCCATTCTCTCTCTCAATCTCCATTCCTAACTGACTTTTAGTTACTCTCTCTTTTAATTATTACATTCTCTCTTAATCTCTCTTTCATTCTTCCCCATTCTCTCTTGCTATAAAACTAAGAAGATTATTACAAAACTTAACGATGACTTGTAGTACTTCCTGTCTGATTGTGTTAGTAGTGTGTCGGTATTTGGGTGTGGGACCACTTCAAAAATTCTGGAGGTATTTTGGGGTTTCCTGGTCGAGGAGTTGCCTCGAAATTCCATCTTTCAGACATATATCGAAAATTCTACGACGTCTACCGATACAAATACGGACGAGAGAGAAAAATATATCACACGGAAACGTTTTGCACATTCTTCGTCTTCTATGTGCCGTTTTCTCCCAGGACGTTGGCGGTCATGGCTCTCCCCTATTTCTTGTCCTTTGTAGCACTTAGTAAAATTGGTCATTATTAAATCCATTGCTAGGTCAGCTGCTAAGAAAGTTGGTTCACTGTGTCGTGCAATACAATATTTCTCTCCGGAATCTTTGTTCTTTTCTTTTTATGTGTCGTGTCCCTTCAGGACGTAGGTGATCATGGCTCTCCACCTCCTCCTATCACTAGTAGCTCTCAGTAAGTTTCGTCCATCTGTCACCTCACCCAGACCAAGTTCTATCATCCACTTTCTTAAGCCAGCCATATATGCCATGCGTTGCTTTCCCTTGTCTGTCTTTCTCTCTATTCGACCTGTGAGTAACAGATTCTCCAAGCCCTCCTTTCTCATTACGTGTTCCAGAAATTTCAGCTGCCTCTTCCTGATGTTAAGTATAAGAATCTATGTTAAACATCTATATATCTACCATTGACCCATGCTTAAAACATTGCTTGAGCCTCTTTGATAAAATCCCAAAAAGAATCAGCAATATTATTGGTCCTGATCTGGTGGCTCAGCTTCAGTCACTTTATCACCGACTTAACGTTGCCTCTTTGTGTCACTTGTATAAATACTTTTATGGTAATTCTTCGGATGAGTTCTTCACTATGGTCGGCTTTTTGAATTTCAGTGGCTGTACTAGACAGGCGTCGAGATTTATGCCATTAGTTTACAATTGAATTATTTTTGTTAGTTTACAATTGAATTATTTTTGTTAGTTTACAATTGAATTCGAAAGATGTGGCCGCAAGTTCTATACTAACAGTTTTCTTTTCTTGCACGGCTCACTTATGGAACTCCATACCGGTTCCAGGCTTTCCAGCCAACTTTAAACCTTGGAGCCCTGACCACTGCTTTACCAGTGATAGAGAATATGACGTAAAGCCCAGCCAGTTTTGCCATTCTCAAATTACACACTCTCTAAATTCTATTTTTTATTTCCGGAGTTGTTTTTTCTGTTTTCCTTTTGAATTTGTACGTCTGATGAATTGGATCGTATTTACGATTCCAATGGAATAAATTATGACCATGGAATATTAGTGTTTAAGCCTTTTTATTATATCCTTACTCTGTCCTAGACATTGAGTTCTACCTGGATTCTATCCTCTTGAATTTTATTTAATTATTTTATTGTATGTATATGCATGTATCGATATATATTTATATATTTTGCATATGTATGTTTATATTTACCACTAATTTTATCTATCTATCTATCTATCTATCTATCTATCTGTCTATCTATCTATCTATCTATCTATCTCTCTCTCTATATATATATATATATATATATATATATATATATTGAGTCATGTTTATATGAATAATTTTCCCATGTTCTGTCTACTTATTTTGAATTGGATCTTTTCATAATCATGGATAAGCTTTTTGGTGTCGTTATTGAAGGACGAAAGAAAATCACCGCGTTGATATATATTTCTTTTATTCCAAGTACTTTCGGCATAGCACAATGTCATCATCAGGCTATTGTTTATTGAAGACGGATATTGTATTATTCATTATTGTCGAAGACAAAATTTTTGAGTTCATCAGAAAGTTAAATTTCTTACTTGTGAAGTGAAGAACGCCGAGACAGTACGTGATCGCTAACACTTCATAAAGGGAGGTAACTAAGTATGGGTGTGGAGAGTTTTTACGAAATAAGTAGTAAATAAAGAAAAAACTATTAATGCAAAACTTGGCATTTTAAGCTATTTATTGTACACATGTTAAAACATTTGTGGAGTATTCATAATTAATTTTATTAAGGTTTGGTTTCAATTATTTAATATAGATAGGTTTGAGAATTTTTAGTTTATTCTTTGCCGGAAAAAGTACAGAAGTATTTTCGCCAAGAATTTTTCTGAATTGCGAATGTGGACTGGTATGTTGTTGCAAATGTTTGGAAATGTTGGACATATTATTCAAATAAAAACTTAGATGCCGAGACAACTTTGTTGTAGTGTA